GACCGAAATAAAATCAAAGAAATAAATTAGAAAATATAGAACACAAAATGAAGTTATTAAAGTTTGAATATTCTGATGACCCACGAGACCAACAGCCGATGTGACCAACAGCCCATGAGACCGATAAAAAGAAGAAATACACATGGGAAGATGGAAAAATGCAAGTCTCGTGGACCGTCACTTTGGCGAAAATTATTAAAATTGCCTAGAAAGCTCAGATGACCGACATTTTGGTACAGTGGTCTGATGGTATCATGGGCTGTCGGTCTGTATAGTGGACCATCAACGAAATCGCCAAACAAGAAAGATTAACAGAATCATAAAGGTTGTATTCGGATGTTTATAATTTTTCGCATCTCGAAATCTATGATCCAAGATGAACTCAATTTGATCAGTTGCTGGATTAAAATGGAAAAGATTGTTGTTTTGTAGAAAGTAAATATACAAGATGGAATATCTGCCACTATATATACACCCCTCCCTCTCGTCAATTTAAACACTACCAATATTCCCGCACTCGACACCTGATATTCGGGCAGTGAGGTGGTCAATTCAGTTCAATTCAATTTATTTCGCAAATAAAAATCAAAGTATACAAGGTAACAGTAAATGTTAACTAATTTTACAAAGGTTATATGCGGGACTTTCCATGAAGGTTGCGAAAACCTGTAAAGTTGGATCGCCCATTACAGAAATACAAAATATTATAAGCACATAACAATATATTAAGTAAAATAAGCAAAATACAGACACTTGAACTGATGATTAAACTACTGCATATCATATCATTTTAAAACCACTTTTGTGCGAAAAACTCACGAAAGCACAAACTCTCATGAATTACTATACAATTTTTGTACAAAGGGGGGGGGGGGAGCGTATAAAATTGTGTATGTCATTGTATTTGTAATATTTCGATACATTGCCTCTATATTTTTCTTTACTCGCATCGCTCTCTTCCAAAATATCTAAAGTGGTAATTTGAATTGGGCGAGCGACCTCAGCCTCCATGTCCCCCTCCCCCCCCCCCCCCCGAAGAAAAATTGTGTATAGTAATTTATAAGAGTTTGTGCTTTTATGAGTTATGTTATGTAATCCTTGTACATAATTCGCACAAAAGTGGTTTTAAAATGATGTTATGCAGAAGTTTAATGATCATAAGCTATGGTGGGGCAAGATGGAACAGGAAAGTATGGGATAAGGCGATGCCATCATGTTATGATTACCCTTTACTAATGAAATCTTTCCGTATTTTATTACATAATATGTGTTCCATTATTAAAGGGATAGTTGAGTTCTGTTGCAGAGGGCGCTGCACAAAATATTTTTTTGTGAGATAATGAAAAACTGAGTGTCAAATTTGAAAGAACATAATATTTTAAATGACAAAATCATCTTTGTTTGATCAAAAATCGGTTCAGAGACGGCTGAAATATAACGATTTCTAATACTTGTGTACCACCACAAATATTAGATATTTTGAAAAAATTGAAAAAACCGTTGAAAAAACGAAATAACGCCTTTTACGTCGTATTACAGCCAATGTAGATGTTGGCTTTTTTGTTGGCATTTTCGTGTTGCTTATATACCCACAATATTTTAGCCGGCTCATGTATTGTTATTTTTAATTAAATAATTAATTAACGGTCACAATGTTTTTTGGAAAGTGGAGCTGAATTGGTATGATCGTTTTGGCTAAATTTCACACATTTTGGGGTCTAAAATTACCTTCATAGCAATTTTAGGTTCTAAAAGGGCACTATAAATATCATAGATAAGAATAAGAGTAATAACCATGCACTTTGAAGGCATTTGCGGTCTGAAAACAGAACTCAACTATCCCTTTAAATTCATTCTTTAAGTTATACGTATTCAGTTTGAAAAATATAGAGTTTACCATGAGGGTGACTCTGTCATCAAAAGAGGTAGATTATTTTTAATTAAATAATATTTTTATTGTATTGTATCTTATTTAGTTTTATTATATTTTTTTGTTCTTTTCAAAATTTTCCTTTTATTTTTTTAAATTTCTTTCAAATTATTCTTCATTATTTTCCCGAATCCAAGCATTAAAACAACCAGACTCAATCATTATCTATAAATTGATTGTTTATCATGGTTGAAGCTTCTCAAGCTTTAAAAAGTATGTGGGCTTAAACCTGACTCACTGGAGGTATACTGGGTCAAAACCAGATATTTGTTGTTAAGGAGTGTAAATTTAGAGCAGTTTCTTTTTTATAATTATTAATATGGCTGGGCTGTCAGAAGTCGATTCATATATTTATCTTGTTAATCATCGAGTGTTATGCGTGTACGTAATCTGTATGGCTATATTTACTGTACAAAGTACAGTGTCAAGCGGGGTTATTTACTCCTTACTGTATTGATTTAGCTTGATATGTAAAATAAACACTTGAGTCCATATCTATCTATTTCCGTGAACTCTTTCGTTTAATCTAGATATATGGAGCTTAAAATCATGTGACTTGGCAAAGATGCGTAAGGAATAAAGGAATGAAGGTATCATTATTTGTAAAGATTCATCGTTGAAATTAAAATAATATAATAAATAGTTTGTTGTCGCTCGCCACATGCACCATTTTCTTCATATTCTGACAGACTGTTTACTGTAATGACTGATTTTGAAGTACCAGGTAGTAACCCTAGCAATACTTTCGTCAAATATGTCCAAATTGTAATCTCTCTCTCTCCCTCTCTCTCACACAATACATGGCTGAAAGTGCCCTTTAATTCGCACAAAGAGACGTTTAAAAAAATAGTCAATGTAAGGATTCAGGTATTAGAATCCTACTTGGAACAGCTGGATGAAAAGAATGGAGTAAGTTCATGTATTTTGTTTTGTAATTCATCGCTTATACCCTGTGTAAGAGGACGATACGAGAGCATTCCTAGGCTTAAAAAGTTGTGTAGTCTTTGTACTTCGGACAGTATCGGTGACGAATTTCATTACTTATTTGATTGTGATAACTGCACTATATATTTTTCTCACTACAGGACCCGCCCAAACACATCGAAAATGTTTTAAATAGACACAAAAAACGTAGCCCCCCCCAAGCAATTCCTCGTAAATTTTGAACCACCAAGTTTCTTTACAAATTTACCTGAAAGGAAACTAATTATGTGGTTCTCATATAATTTTTTCGTGTGAAATCAGAGGTACCACATGTCAAACTTCACAAGATTGATGTCATTTATTGAGTGTACTGAGAGACAGTCACATTCATGAATGACGGCGCTGTGTGTATGCATCGGGCTGGTTAGTGATCTCCTGACACACCCGAAAGTCCATTATTACACTGTTCAAATGGAACTGAAGTGGTGTCATTACTACAGTTGTATTGAGAAACAGGTAACATATAGTCCCTTGCAATGCCACTATTATACTTCAGCAATCATTGACTCTTGCTTATTGTTCCTGTAATTTGAACTCAGTCAACCGTGAAATATAGATTCAAGGTCAGCAGGGTGTCAGGAGATCATTAATTAGCCCGATACAAACAAACAATGTGACTGTCTCTTAGAACAATAACAAAATAATAGCAATCTTGTTAATTTTGAAATACTGTTATTTGTCTTCAAGGCATGCTTATTCTAGCATGTCTCTTTTGGGTAAATATGTTCAAAACTAGAATCTAGAAATTATGAAGGTTTGCCCAGGAGGAGGGGGACTCACTTCCGTTCAGTGTTGTTTTGCTGAATATCCCTAAGATGTCAACAATAAAAGGTTTGTTAGAATTATTATGTTAAAGATTGGTAAATTCGCAATTATTCAACTACGTATGTTGATCTCTTCGTATAATCCTAACATTACGCATGTATGTATTATTATAAAAGTTACACTGTCTTAGTTTGTTTAAAAATGCTTTAATTGCCATCTTAACTTTTTTGATATGATATTACAAATAAACAATGTATTATGATTTTCATGCATTTTTCTCATACTCTGAAAGGGTCCTTAGAAATGAAATTCCAGTTTCTAATTTATCTCTCTCTCTCTCTCTCTCTCCCTTTCTCTTTCTCTATCTATCTCTTTCTCTCCTATTATCCCTCTCTCCATCTGTCTTTGTATCTGTGTTCGTTTTCTGCAACCCATTTACCCTTCTCTCTCTTATATTTTTTCTCTCTCCCTCTCTCCATTTTTTCTCTCTCTCCTTCCCTTCCTTCTCTCTTCTCTTTATCTGCTTATGTTTTTTAATTTAAAGAACACGTTTGTTAATGTACACTTTGACTCCGTTCTATCGCAACCACGTGAGCTGTCTCTTGGCAAGGCTCACCGGGTTCACGTTTATCAGACACGAAATGATTTTTGACATCTATAAACTCGTTCAAAGTACTGTTTATTTAGGGATGACAACACACCATGAACTTTCCAAGATAAGAAAAATTAACAGGTCCAAAGTGATACCATAATCATCCTCTAGATGTTTTTTTCACAAACAATCCAAGCATAAAAGAGTATGAGCATGGCTTATCGAAATGATATTTATTTTGGGTCTATATAAACACGACTTCCACTGATAGGTCCATAAACTTACAGAATAATCATTGATGATAAAACGGGTAAAATTTCCCGATGAACTTATAGTCATATATCGGCTTATCATGAGTTTACATGGACAAATTTAATACTAACATGTATCATTTCTTTAGAACCCACGCCTTCAAAACAGTTACGTCGAAAATAATTATATCTCATGTTAATACAGTATTTTGAATTTTCGAAACAAGGCGGTAAAACTGTATTAAACAGCCTAAAACCACATCAAAAAGGATTATGTTCTGAAAAATGAACAATAAAGGCATTACATTAGTTATGCTTAAATTATATATTTCATGAAATGCCATACCATTAACATGATTAATGCTAATAATAAAGAAGCCACAATGGTTTAAGGCCTGGTACAAAGCTCTCTAACAAAACAAAAATATCTTCTACAATTCCGTGACCAATATACTTCAGAAGAATCTATATATGGATTTTAAAGACATGGATGGTTGGCCATATTTTGAACCTCGACCGCAGTGAGAACTCGGCCATAGATCTTGACCTCGTCAATCAAGCCATAGAAATACTCATTTCTATTCCCTGGACCTGCATGACCAATAGTGACCGGTGTATTGCGTGTTAGAATAGGACCAGGGCAACAGTTCTGGCTGTTCGCTGTCTGCTGCTGACCATTGAGGTAGTAGAGCAAGGTAGACCCGTCATAGGTCATGGTCACGTGGTCCCAGGTGTTCCGCAAAGCGACAAGATTTAAGTAGTCCCAGGTAGTACCCGCAGCAGTTGTAATGACACCACCGCCCAGCATCTGACCGCTGTTCTCCCTACCCATTCTTATCTCCCAGCTCCCTGTAGTGTAATACCCATTATTGACGATGCCCTGGTAGTTCCCCCAATCACCGGTGCGCTTGAACCATACACTGACACTGAACTCCGAGTCCCAGGCGAAGTTGGCAAACGACTGGACGCTCATTTTAGACGCACCGTTAAAGGACGCGGCCTGACCGGATTGGCCAGCCGCGTAAGAAACATCGCCGGTCGTGGTTCCGTCGCGGTTGTTACCGGAGCTGTCTGTAACGTCTCCCTCAAACGGGTAGTAAGCTGGAAGAAAAGCAGGAGGAAAATACCAAGGCATTACAACAGGACAATGCTCTTTTTTCCGACAAGCAACTAACAGAAAAACATTCTTATTTTCAAATTCAGGACCAGGCTGAACGCTAGTATTAAAATTGTCAATTTTGCGAGATTACTTCCCAACAAGGCTCTGAAGTTGCATGTATGGATATCTACATCTCTCATAGCTGCTTTCATATTCCGACTCTCTGACATCAGTGCTAGTGACGGTTAGGGTTAGGATTGCACTTGGGTTTTAGTTGAGGTTAAAAGTTGTAGTTAGGTTTTGGATTTGTTTAATCCTTAAAATTTCGGCTAGTTTTTAAAAATGGTCTTGGAACAGTGTTCACAGGAGCATGTGTCCTAAAACGCATTTGATGTGCTTTAACTTTTATCCTGCCACAGGGCTAATCCCCATTGTGCCAAGCCACAAATCCCCCAGTGCCAAGTTTATTTTGAGATAATCAGATTAACACGATGATACTATCAATAGCGCGTGCGAAACACTAGTCACAGTACAATGGGCACAAACAATAACTGCTATAACGAATGCTTGCAAACATGCAAGAAGCAGCGAAGCGTGTACAAAGCCCTATAAAGGTAGCGTGCCTCCAAGCTTGATATGGCAGGATATGAGTTAACTACTAAACACAATCTGCGGACAGAAATTAGTTATTTCATTTTTTATATTCTTCTGCCTCATGCGAAAAATAAATAATATTGATTATACATACATGTATGCGAAGATCGCTGTATCGCGAGAGGAAGGAAGGAAGGAATGGAGGAAGTGCTGGACCAATATTAAAAACGAATTAAGACAAATTATTAAAGCCCTCAGATTTTCAAATGTACCAAATATTGTCAAACTCGATTTTTCAAATATGACGATTAAGGTACATTTTTTGCAATTCGCTCTAACGTTTAAAGAGACGATCCTGTTAGCAGAGTGTGAGCCATCTAAGGTGAGTTGTGAATTATGACCCAGACCTGTTCCTACACTGCCTCTATCACGTTGTCATCCTTTTGATTAAAACAAAATTTAAAAAGGGGACGAAATGTTATCAACTCACCAAGCAAGCAATCATGAGGGCAGGAAGAACAAGCCATCACCGTTGATATCATAAACATGATCGACGCTAGGAGGGCTATCAAACTGTTTAATATCGGCGAACTATAGAATATAGATAATAAACATTGTCTGACTGTGGTTATTGTAATGCAAAAGACGTAGATGTAGAGTCAGATTGGGGTGTTCTCAATATAATTTAAGTTATGGAAGTAAGTAACATATTGTGAACATTCATTGCCAGTTTAATGATAAAAGTGACAATTTAATTTAGGTATTCAGGATATTTCTGAGGTAGCAGATGTCCTTACTTGCAAAATCTAACTTTTAGGAGCATTATGATTTAACAGTCTCACTGTATCAAAAGATTTCTGAATATGGTAAAAGCTTTACTCGGTAGAAAATCTAAAGCAATCAATTTCTGTATCGTTCAGATCATGGAGACTTGACAGTTTTAAAGTGTATGCGCTTTAAGCATTATTATTATTGAAATTTATTGTTTGGATTTTGTTTCTTCACGAAAAGCATAGTTTGAAGCCCAATTGGTAATATTATTAGATACCATTGTATCAATTACCATCTTTATGCAGATGACACCCAATTGTATACTTCCTTCAATCCCAAAATCCCAGGAGACTTAGTTGTTGCTTTGTTTAGACTTCAAAATTGCATTTCAGATATTGGAAATTGGATGTTAGTTAATAAATTGAAGTTGAATGACTCAAAGACAGAATTCTTTGTAGTAGCCTCACCTCACAGTTTACGCAATCTACCAGATCTTAAGCTAAAAGTTGGTGATATATTCTTAAGCCCTTCAATCACTGTTAAGAATCTAGGTGTGCTCTTGGATAGAGAAATGTCAATGTCAGATCGCGTCTCTCAAATATGTACTACTGTAACTTTTCATTTAAGGAACATTTCTCGAATTAGAAGATACATTAATCAATCCGCCTGTAACAACGCAATTCGTTCTCTAGTTCTGTCTCGTTTAGATTACTGCAATGGCCTTCTTTCCACTATCCCTGTTACTCAATTAGATCGTATCCAACGACTTCAAAATTGGGCAGCCCGGGTAATTTATCAGGTTACGAGATCTCACTCCCCTAAACCACTCCTTCACTCGTTGCACTGGCTTCCTGTAAGACATCGTATCGATTTTAAATTATTATTTTTAGTTTATAAATCCCTTAATAAACAGGCACCTCAATACCTACGTGATTGTTTGACCCTATACACCCCTAGCAGGAATCTACGAGCCTCCAGTGACCCACTCCGTCTTACATATAACATCACACGGAAACTAGCTGGAGATAGGACTTTTACTATAACTGCATCTAAATATTGGAATAGGCTACCTTTAACACTCAGACAATCACCATCTGTCTCTTCATTCAAAAAGGGACTTAAAACATTTCTTTTTTGTAATCCAGATTTTTAGGATTATGTAAGTTTTCATTTTTATTTTGTGTATGATTCTTCTTGTTGTAAGCGCTTTGGGCCACTCTGGGAAAAGCGCAGTATATAAATAATAATAATAATAATAAATGAAGCCTAAGGAAAACTATCAAATAACATTTTGTTTTGGAAAAACAATGATACAGTACGAAACCAAGCTTTGTTACCCCATACTGTAGAATTAATGAAAAGTAGCTCTTGCACGAGATGACTGTAACTGACAAGTGTCGTCTTGAAAATGATTAAAGTGATATTGAATTGAACTCAGGACCGATACTTTATTTTCTTTTAGTCACGTAAACACCATGTACGGAGGACGGTAGGTATATTCAAGGACAGAGCAGGTTAGAATCCGGTACAGGAGAAATTAAAAAGAAATCAATACAAGAATACCAGCACGGATGTCCACTCGACTGGAATCTGATAGAGATTGAGCACTCTTACTTGTTTGAAGTGAAAACAAGAGAATTTCAAAGGTCAGCCGTGTCTTTGAACCTGAGCAAGGTCAAATTTTAAAAGCAAATATAGACCTAGACAATTCAAATTATTAAAAATGATTTATCAGTATAGAACATGACGATTTAATACACAAACAAACTGATTATTGATTTAATGGTGGTCGCTCTCTTGAACTACAACATGTGCAATTTTTTTTTAAAGCTTTTATGTTAGCTTAAAATAAATATGATAATTTTATTAAAAAATGACTTATATAAATGATTATTACTTTAATTTTATTTGGTAGAACATTGTGTTTTTGAAAATAGTCTGTTTGTCAAATATTTGCAGCACAGGCACAACAAAAGTTAACTTTCATGTTTTATGTTTATCTTTACATCAACTCAGTGGGTTTTTCTTTTTTTAAATCCCACATATTACTATTATCATTCAAATTCATGATATTATACAGTTATTGACTGGCAGGGGGTGTAATATAACATTATTTGGACTGCTGAAGGGAGTTATTTTTCCCAAGTGGTTATATTTTCCCAAAGCGCGCAGCGCTGAGGGAAAATATGGTCACAAGGGAAAATATAACTCCTTTCAGATCCAAAGAATGTTATATACCCCCTGCCAGTCAATAACTGTTAAAATAGATAGCCTTGGTTTGATTTTTGATTTTTTTTTTTTTTGGGGGGGGGGGTTCATATTTTTGTTTTATCCGAATTTTTGTTTTTCTTTTTTTTCGGGGACAATCAAAATTTTAGAAAAAGAAGTGCAAAAAATAAAAATGACTGAAAAATAATATTTCGAGATAATTCAAGAAAAGAGGTGTTATGTGTGTAATTGGTGACATACAACCCTCAGGAGGGTGACATGCATTGATTACAAATATATTCATTTCACCAGCTGGTAAAATATAACCAGCCAGGACAATGTAACAATTTGGATCCTCACAATTGATATCCCGTGACGAGGTCTGAACCAATCACATCTCGGTATCTGTCTAAGCTATCTAATATATTGGTATATAGTTGTTCAATGGACCCTATTGGAGATTAACCACATATGAAACAAGAAAAAAACGACTACGACAACTACTTCTACTACTACTACTACTACTACTACTACTACTACTACTACTACTCCTTCTTCTTCTAATGCTTATAATAATAATGTTATCAATCACAACAATAATGATAATAATATTACTATTAACACTAGTACTCACTACTAATAATGATAAAACTATGAATATTATTACTACTACTACTACTATTAGTTTTACCATTGCAACTAAGACCATTTATGACCACTGAGCATGTTATATCAGAAGTCAACATTTTACCCGGCGGTGTATGAGTGATATCATTAAACCACTGCTATTGCATAGGAAGGCTCTGCTTAGTCTGCAAGCAAATAATCTAATTTGATAATCTTCCATAATTCCTAAATTCTAGAGCAGTCCCTAAATCTCAGGTATTTTCTGGATGTGTCGAATAGCGGCTAGAGTACAGAGCCTAGTTTGGTCTTGTATTGCAGACACTGTTACTCACAACGACACAACGACTGACAAGGGTTTGTGCCTGAAAAACAAGGCCCGGCACTATTCTACTCTTAACCTTGACTCTCACCATTATTATATTCTTATATTATCTATAATTTTTTGTATATGGTCAGCACACTCACGGAAACGTATAATGAAATGAAACTATAATCTATCATAACATTACACCTGACAATGTCACGTGGTATCCAATACTTATACAAATAGTTCTAGTATACGACCATGGCAATGACCGGTGATGCATTATCTTCAAGATCGTAAGAGTTAAAAAATGAATAAATAAAGATCTCAGTTACGCCTTCGACACGTGATCATTATGTGCTCGATATGCAAAGGTTGGCAAAATATATTTACGAAAACGATTTATGAAATTCGGAACTTCGAACAAAATTTGTGCAAAATGAATCGGACTTTAATATTTTTTCGGAAGTAGGTTAAATAATTGATGTGTAGTGTATATGTGTGTTCACGATACATGATGGTTGTTCGATGGATGAGGACATTACCCTACATCTATCAACAGATGGCGCTGATGTATTAAAATGAGTTTGAAGGTCGGGTGACATCCAAATATAAGCTGATTCCAAGTGGTGTGCAAGGCTGCATACAACTCACCTTTTGTTATTTAAACATCCAAATATTTGTCATCGATTTTTGAATAGTTTTAAAAATAATTTTATCAGACATGCTAAGGTCCACCCTAAAATTTGCTCCAGATCTTATTCATCTTATGACATCATCTATCAATCATTAGTGAGCTAACATGAGACGGTATGTAGCTTCACCAGAGCTGACCATCTGTTTACAATAGACCATACAATACAATAAAATACCATACAATAGAAGTTGCTATGTCAGAGAGGCTGTAGAATCACCAGGAAAAGAAAGGTTATGTGGAGGTATTGTATGAACAAATATTTTGTGAGCATGTGCTGTGCTGAACCGCATTCACTCTAATATTTCTAACAAAGGGACGCCCCAGTGAGCAGAATGTCGGCCCTCTACGGTGAACCGTGAATTGTGATCCAGACTTGTAACCACAATGCCTCAGTGATGATGTCATCCTTTTGATAAAACCCAAAAACAAGATTATAACGAGCCATTCAGGTGCGGAATGCTAACAGCTCTCCGATCAAGCAATCACGAGGGTTTAAAGAACACGCCATCACCGTCGATATCATAACAAGCTATTCACTGGAAGGACTATAGTGTTCATTATTGGCAAAATCTTAAAAATATAGATTAGAAACATTTGTGTTTGTGGTTATTGTTTGACAATCCGAAAACATTACGAAACCATAATCGGATGGCCAGTGTGGGTTGTTCTCAATATAATCTATATTATCAGGGGATGATTATGAAACTCATAACATATCGTGAACATTCATCGCCTCTTAAATAAATTGAGGCCATCATTCAATAAAGTATTTGGTATACTACTGTAGTAGAGAATGATCTAAAATAAATACTTGAAACTTTCACAAACACTTTACTTGAACATTGTTAAAGTTGACATTCTAAGAAAATGCCAAATATTGACATAACTACATCACAGAATAGAAAGTCCCAGAATAACACTGGTGTCCAACCGACAAAACAAGTTCAGAA